CAGCAGTAACCTCTTGCATGACCGAGAAGCGCGCCTTGACCTGCGTCAAGAGTGACATACTGTAGATGGATATAATGGAGAATCCAAAATAAAACATCTTTCAGATTCTGAAATGAATCCAAAGATTCCCCACTGGACCTGCTGTCTTAGTCTGGAGACCTGTCGCCAGAGCCATACTGGAATGCTGTGGAGGGATGGGTCTGGCTGAGTCCTTGTGACTAATGGACCAGTGTGGATGTAAACTTAGAAATATCCCATGTTTTTATTAAGGACTGTTTGGAGAGTGGGGACTGTTCCACCAAAAACGGATGAGGCACACTGACTCTTTCCACTGGCTCCTCAGAGAACTGGTTGCACGTAGAATGCACCTTAAATGGGGGATGTACCTGCTTCAGACACAATGTGATGCCAAGCTCTTCACACTGGGGCATGTGGTGGAGGCCTGTGACCCTCACCTTGACAATGCTGCTGCTATGGCATCACTGTTGAGAACCGGGTCTGTCAGAACTGTCCGCCTTCTACTGAGAGACTGCAAATGACTATCCGCTTCTAAGCTATCTTTGATAGCTGCTTATTGTGATGGACAAATCAGAGTGGACTACTGTGACCCTTTTCCTGAACTTGACATATCCCCATTGTTTAAGCACCTTGGTGGTTCATTATTAGTATTGCCAAATCATGTTGACTATACTTTTAACATTAAGTTGGGCAGAACGATGTATTACTGTTGAAAGTGATCAATCAAGACAAATTGAAAGATAGGGGCGATACTCCGCGGAGGACACATTTGAACCTATCAAAGAAGCAAACACCTGAATGGGGAGCACTTTACAAACCACCGTTAACAAGAAGGATTGGTGATTTACAGTGGAGGGTTCGACATGGCATTATTGTTGTGAATGCTTTTGTTGTAGTTATTAATCCAAATGTCTCTGATCGATGTCCTTTCTGCTCCCAGAGAGAAACTAATTTTCATTGCTTTCTGAGGTGTAAAATACTTTTTCCTTTGTTCAACTTATTAAATGAGATGTTTAATTGGCTTGGGGGAGGGGTTTTCAGACATGATGTTCGTTTTGGGATTTAAATACAATAGGAAAAAGAGGTCACAATGTAAACTACAATTTTCTGTTGTGAAATGTGAAAATGGGTAGTTTCTACTCCCAAGAAAACAACTTTGAGTATATTTGATGTCTTAAGAGTGTTGTGCATGGTGGTGAATAGGGAATTAGTGTTGAGCCTTTTTCTGACTTAGCTGTCATTATCATGGATTGTGTTTGTAAAATACTTGGTTGATGTGAGCAAATAAATGTGGTTTGAAATATCAAAAAATATATGTCTCGCTCTCTCTGTCTCTCTTTTCCTTAGTCTCTAGCTCTCGCTCTTTCTCTGTCTCTCTCTGTTGGTCTCTGTCTGTCTGTAATTGAACTAGTTTGACACCACTGTCCAAGTGCAGGGGTGGCCAACCCGCAGCTCGTGAGCCGCATGCGGGTCTTTGGCTGGCTCAATGCGGCTCCTGGGCTTTCAAATGACAAGTGTCTAAAACGCCTCGGCGGTGGCGCTGCCATTCAAAGAAGGGCGCGAAATACACATAACTTACTACGTCAGCCTATCAGTCCTCGGGAGGGAGGGAGGGGGGGAGAGAGAGAGAGAGAGAGAGAGAGAGAGAGAGAGAGAGAGAGAGAGAGAGAGATTTTACTTGAATTTTTATGTTACAATGTTAAAATTGGTAAAAATAAAACATACAAAATGTTTGTACAGTATTTTACGTATTTTCTGCTCTCTTATTACATCTGTATACAGTTTATGGAGTAAAATAGTAAAAACAAAAAAAAAGCTTTAAAAATGTTTTCTAGACTTGAAACGGGTTAAAATGTATTACATTGATTATAATGGGAAACATGGTTTTGGTTTTCGAACAAAATGGTTTTCGAGCAGCCATCTGGAACGGATTATGATCGAAAACCGAGGTATGACTGTATTCATTGTTGAAAATGACTGGCCTGTGTTTTCGTACTGCAGGCGTAAATTTCTGTCATTATCATGTTGGTGTGTGACATTTACAATAAATCTGGCTGAGCGTGTGTGTGTGTGTGTGTGTGTGTGTGTGTGTGTGTGTGTGTGTGTGTGTGTGCGCGCGCTTGCGTGCGTGCTCGTGAGGAAGTGATGCGGTGATGCTTATGTGTGCCCATGTATATGATGTGGCTCTTTGCAGTAACACAGTAAAAAAAAAAATTGGCTCTTAGTCTCTGACTGTTTGGCAGTGATGTGTTCCTCGAGCCGGTCCTCACCGGCTCGAGGACCGACCTTCGGTCCTTGGTCCTTGGCCTCGGCCTCGGGAGTCAAGTCCTTGGCGTTGGCCTTGGCCTCGGGTTGCCGGTCCTCGGACACAATGAGGGATTAGAGCCTCGAATCCCTTGTCCACAGGTATAAAGTGGGTCCGAGGACCACAAAAATCACGAAGTAATCAATTAAATTCCAGCCAGGGAAACCCATATTGATGGATTATTCTGGCGCTTTGGTGGGGGCGGGTCTGCCACTGACAGGTGACAGTTAGCGCATCACAGTTAGTTTCAATCACGGTTTGTTCTGTTCGCGGTCGGCAGATTAAATAGCGTGTAAAGTCTTTCTGTAACAGTGGTGTCTTTTATGTAGTTATTTTTGCACAGTCGTCACGTTTGTGCGGTGGCACTAGAATGTTTGTTTGAACCAAGTAATTTGCATTACAGCTGGAGTCAGTAATGCCGGAATTTCACTTCCAGGTTTGGCCGTTGGGATTTGGAGTCCTTGGAGCCCTCCTTCCAGTTATGTTTGCTGAATGCTTTCTCATGTTTGGAATCATGAATATTGATAATACATAGTTTAAAATCATGGTTGATTTAATTATTTTTTATTATTATTGTGAAGTTGAAGGTATTAAATTAATTAATGAAGTATTAGTGGGAGTGGTAATAATAGTAGTACTCAGAGAATGTTTAGAGATCAGCCATCTCGTTACCTCTGCGTCCCGTGTCCGAGACGCAAAATTAACCCACAGGAGGCACAGTTCCAAACAATCAGTGTTGTGTCCAAGGACCGGCAACCCGAGGCCAAGGCCAAGGCCAAGGACTTG